CAGGCAGGTGGGGGGAGGCGGTGGGTGGGGGAGGAGGTGGGAGGGAGACTGGGAAGCAAGGCGCAGGCACCCTAGTGCTTCGTACTGGGCAGGCGCGTGTGACAAGTTGTGCCTCTACTCGTGTTTTCTCACTTTAATTCATTCCTAAAGAGTGAAGTTCTATGAGGCTCAGAGAGGAAAATTAAGGTTCCCCTGGATACTAAGTGGTACTATTGATGTGTGAATTAGACTAGCTCAAAAATCTAGTTATTCTGTATACATAAGCCTCCCAATAAAACAGGATATATGCCTCGAAGATATTACATACGAGTTGAGGGGATAAATACATGAAACCAAATATAAAGAGCAACCAATCGTCAGTTGGGATAAATGAGAAGGGCCCCAATCCTATGAGAAACACCACCAACAGGAATGCCAGGACGGAAGGACAAGAGGCTGAAGAGGCTGAGCAGTAAGACACTGTCTTAGGGAAGAATGGAAAATGAAAGCCAATTGTCCATCTTTCCAGGCACATGGTAAAGCAAAAGGCACGAGGGGAAGGAGAATAGAACGCTCAACTGCAACCGACTCAAGGAGATAGGCTTCTGTTGTAGCAGGTAATAATAGGGAAGAAACTGGATTGTGGAAGGTGACCAATTCACAACAAACGTGAAGCATTAGATTAAAAGGAACTCATCCCAGTCTACGCAGGACTGCACGGCGAATTTGTTATTTAACAGAGGAATGTGGAGTCCTGATGTGGACACCCTCTGGAATTGTTAAACCAGTGACAAAAAAATTGAACCAAAACATTAAAAGCAGAGTGTTTCCAGGAAAATGGTCAAGATCCTGAGAGGCAGCACAGGAAAGTGAACACGAAACCTTTATCTTGAACCAACTACCATAATCCAGGGGTGAGGGCGAAGAAGAACCTTAGATAAAGGTGGCCATGAACGAAAGAGCGAAATGAAGGGACTTGCTCACTGACCCTTAAGCGTACGACCAAAACCTCTTGGTTGAGCGTTTAAAACAATGTATCCACTTTTTAAAGAAAGCAAAACTTACGCTTTACTTAATTACCGGGTTATCATGAGTTAGTGATTATATTCACATGATTCAAGCAATAGAGGGATAAGATTTACAGTTAAGCTGGCCCATGGCAGGCCTCATGCCTATACATCCCAGCACTTGGGGAGGCGAGGGTGCGGATACTGAGTCAGGAGTTCGAGACTAGGCCTGGCCAACATGGTGAAAACCCGTCTTCTACGAAAAATACAAAAAGATTACCCAGGCATGGTGGCAGGTACGCGCGGATCCGCAGCTACTCAATGAGACTGAGACAAGAGAATCCCGCTGACCAAAGCCAAAGGCAAAAGGAACAAGAAAAAAAACAGGTGCGGATCCCATACTAAGACTGAAGTCCACGCCATTAGCAACTCGCCATGTGTGACAGACCGTGAGACACAAAGATTATGGAAAAAAGAAAAAAACAATGTGACGACAGTAAAAAACCATACTCCCTCCTACAACACCACGCCTTCTGATCTGCTCACAATTCTACCCACCCCCAACTTTTCCCAAACAACCATATAACCATTAGCTGCTTCATCTAGTTACGTGGACCCAGAGAAATCGTGAGCGGAAAAAACAAAGACAAGCAGATACCAAGACATATTCCCTCACGAAGTCAATATAAAATTCCAGCGTGTACAAACGGAGCATTCAGATACAGGTGGCACGCCAGCAGTCATAATCAACTGAGCACACTTGTTATATTTGTTTTTTTTGACAGGACACGAACCCAGAGAGAGACACCACAGCGGAGGCAGTAGAGGCAAAAATGCTGTGGGGCTCACTGCACCTCTGCAACTCGAAATATAAAGAACAGGCTCGCCTCACAGACCGCAAGGAGAAAAGAGCATGGAAAGTTACGAGTGCCGTGACAAAAAACTGCGTCGGCGAAATTATGTGTGCTCCACATTTGTAAGCAAAGTAGAGCACAGGAGCACAAAAATGTTGGCCAACTAGAGTCGTCAACGACAAAACTGACCTGGGTCCCACCGGGCATTGACCTCCCAAACAAAAGTGCTGGGAAGGAAACAGCAAATGAAGCCACGAGTCACACACGCGCACTGTAGACCCTGTATGTGGGATTGTAACAAGATGGACGTGCGAGACGGAAACAGGCCTGGCAGAAATAAACACAAGCCAAAATAAAAACCTGTGCAGATAGAAATAGCAGTGGCAATGTGATTGCAAGACGATCAAGAACTGTAGGAGAAAAGAAATGCCGACGGAATGCTCAAAAGATGATGTGGTAGCTGTAATTATTGATAAGATACTGCCGTTTTTGATCCTTCCACGAGTTTAGTGACTCTGTTAGTCTTTCGATTGTAATGCCTGTCTCTTCAGGTCCTTACAAGTACACATTGTTTTCAAACTTTTAGATTTATATAACCAGTCTAATAGTAGGTAATAGAGCCCTCACCTAAGTTTTTCATCACACCCAACAACTAATATTATATTATAAAAACAAACAACAAAATAGCTTTATATTGCATTTCCCTAAGATCTAAGTCTCTGTAAAGGAACAACCGAATATGTGTGTCTCTCTAATATGGTCACGTTACATATCATATCTAACAGGTACCACAAGGACATAAAACCAAAACAAAAAAAACTGGGAACCGAGTTACTGGAAAATGATATATAATATAACCCGATGACAGAAAGACGTGGAAGAACGAAAATGAATTCAAAATACAATAAATAATATACAAAGCTAAATTCATCCATATAATCACTTTACAAAAAAATAAACATAACAAATAGACCATATCAAACCTTCTGTAATCTTCAATATATGTTACAAGGTCTTTTCTTAAAAAATTCAATGGAAATGCATCATTATACAAAAATAGAGAGAGGGATTAGTAGCCTATTGTTTTGAGAAAAAAACACCCCCACACTCAGCTAATTTTTTAGTTTTTTTGTAGATACGAGGTCTTATTATATCGCCCAGGCTGGTCTTGAACTCCTGGGCTCAAGTGATTCTTCTACTTCAGCCTCCCAAAGTGCTGGGATTACAGGTGTGAGCCGCCATGCCTGACCCAGATTAGTCCTTTATCTGTAACATCAGTTGCAAATACTTCTCAACTGGTTATATGTCTTTAGGCTCTCCATAGTGTTTTTGTTATGAATAATTTTTTATATTAAATAATACTGTGGCCATTTAAAACTATGTAGAACTGTGTCTGGATAATTTTTATGTGTTTGAATATATCAGAAATGTGTCTACTTTTAATGAATATATCAAAAGGTTGTCTACTTTTTTTTTAAATAATTTTTGAATGGAGTCTCACTCTGTCACCCAGGTGCGAGTGAAGGGCATTATAAACAATGCCAAAATAAAGAACCTTGTAGATGTATCATTTGCATGTGTTTCAGTCTATTCATCTGTGTGAATAATTCCTGGACGTGGAACTGCTCAGTGTGTGTAGCTGTAATTTTGATAAGATACTGCCTTTTTGATCCTTCCACGAGTTAGTGACTCTGTTAGTCTTTCGATTGTAATGCCTGTCTCTTCAGGTCCTTACAAGTACAACATGTTTTCAAACTTTTAGATTTTTACCAGTCTAATAAGTATAGAGTATAGTTTTTCTCCCCCCCAACCTTTTTTTTAAAACAACATAGCTTTATGCATACACCCGTAATCCCAGCTACTCAGGAGACTGAGACAAGAGAATCCCCTGAACCCA